TAGGAGTATGTTTATGTTCAATTTGATATATTGCAAATATATCGAACTGAATATTAAGCATCTTTTAATCTCAATTGTAGTATTGGCTCGCCGACCATAACAAATCCTGAATACAGTAGTAAGGACGCAAACCCAGCAATGACCACAGAACATCCGGGGGGAGGGGGGTATATTGGGGCAGTGACGTTAGAGAGTCGGAAGCAGCTAATAGATGGCGACAGTATCAGTAAAAAACCTTGTTATCATTTTGTGCAAAGGAGTGGGCAATCTATAGATGTCTTCATCTATGATTTAGAATAGCATTGGCTTTTAATCTAGTGGTTTTTTCGTGTTTCCTTAGTAAATTGGGAATTTGCTTCTTTATTTACACAGAGTGAATATTATCTCGAACCATTTTGTGAATTTCTGCAGTTTAACAAGTAAGTATTTTAATAAATACCTTAAATTAAACGAAAAGTTAGGTTATTTATTTAAAGTTAAATTCACTGGTTGCTGCTGGTTGTGCTCAATGTACCTTGTTAACAACACTTTTATTTGTAGGAATGGCTACGAATCATGTTATTCTTATCTCCTCTATTTGTGAGTTTTTGGAAAACGACAATAGAATAATTAAAAGGGGTGAAAATGCGCTGCACTCAAATCATATTAAAAAAATGCAATATGATTCAACACTGGGTATCATTAGAGGAGAAGTCCTAGCGAGTATGAAGGACAAAGTGTACAATGTAGAGGTAAGGAACATCTTAGTTAGGTAATTTATGTAGGTACCTACTTAACGGGTAATAGCAAAATTAATTTATTGCAGATCAATCTTGATACTGATAAAATATCAAGCGCCACTCGTACCTGCCCTAAGGGACTGCGATGCCATCATATCAGTGCACTGGCATTATAACATTTCAATCACAGATAAGGAATGTCTGTGGAATAAACCAACGACCAAAGAAGAAACGGAGGTAAAAACTGCAGATTATTTGCACCCTCCATCAAAGTTATTTACATCAGTTGAGAAGAAAATATCTGAGAAAGATATTGAAGCCCTGCAACAAAAGTTGAGTGATTTTGGTGTTACAGTTGGTTACTAAGGAAGGATGAGCCCATCAGTAGAGACCGTTTTGACGTGGACATCCCATTAATTGAAGACATTATTACTTCTGAAGACTTCCTTAAATCTTCAAATAAAACAGAATTTGTGAAACAGAAATGTGTCATTGATACTGATAAGATTGAGGCTATAGCTAAAATTACTACAGGCCAAACTGACAACGAAAAATGGTTCTTAATCAGAAAATTCAGGCTTACAGCTAGCCACTTTGCAAAAGTTTTAGGGTGCTGTAGCAGAAATAGGTTTCCAGAGAGCTTGTTTAAATCTCTTATTATGAGTAAGTTTAATGTCACTTATTATCTTTTACTTTTTTATAACATATTTATACTTTTGTTTTAGGTGCTTATTCATTGGACGGGATAAAATCTATCCAATGGGGGAAGACTCATGAAATTATTTGAAAAATAATTTAAACAAATGCTGTGCCAACAGGAATTTGGATATCTAAATCAGGACTCCTTGGAGCTAGCCCTGACGGATTATTTGAAGATGATGGAATTATTGAAGTCAAATGCCTCTGTTCCTTTAAGAAGTCCAAACTCTCGGATTGTTTAAAGGATAAGAATTACATAATACACTATAATAAAAATAAGGAAGTACTTGTGAATACTAATCACAATTATTACCATCAAATTCAAGAAAATTTACATATATCAAATAGAAACGTGTTACTTATGTATTTAGACTCCGCTGGAAGTTGAAACTGTATTGATTAATTTTGACGAGATCTGGGCCAAAAATTTAGACATTTTAGAACTTTTTTATACAAATATTTATTTGCCGAGACTACTCGGTTGTAATATATAAATAACTAAAATTAAGTATAGTATTCTTCAACCTCCTTAATTAAAGGGTACTGGAAATTAGTTAATGCGGCGCACAACTGGAAAATCCGGGATATTTGCGACATATAATACTGAGGGACTCTCTGAAGAATGTTGAAACACTTTATTCGCAGAATGGCCCTTTCAACATGAATGCGAGCTTTTGCAGTTGTTTGAGTTTCGTATACTTGGCTTTCTGTAAATTGACTATTGCTTAAAAAAGGTGGGATGTTCAGATATACCCCTTCGGGTAGAAGATCTTTTATGGGGAAGCCTTTGTCTGCCAATATCAAGTCACCACATTCCATGTGTTGTAAAACTCCACAATTTTTTTATCGGAGACCGACCCTGGATATGCTTTACTCACATATGTCACTACTCCATTGGGTGCAGTACCGATTAATACCTTCCATGTATTTCTGTGCTTATATGAGCTATAAGTGAGCGTTTGTCTATCCATAGCGCTGGGAATATCAGAAGATAATTCTGTGCAGTGTAAAATAATTTTGCAGTTTTTAAAATTTGCAAAAGCTGCAGGCAAACATGCCTGGTTATGTTTCCTGGATGGAATCTTGTTCATCAGCTGGTTAAACAGTACTTCATGAAGGGCATATATCCATGTCATTACAATATTTGTCACCGTTGAAGAACTACAATTGAATCTTAAAGCAAGTTTAGACGAAGCTTCATTAGAGTCATTAGAAGTTGGTCTATCTTAGGAATAATTTGTACCTGCCATTTGGAATAATAATTTAATGGAATTTATTTCATTAAATCGAATATCACCATGAACAATTCATTTGTAGGTATTCCCGTATACATTAGAATCTGTTTATCACTTCCTTTAATGTGTTCATGAGAAAAACGCGTCGTTAAATTTTCTCTAAAGTCGCTCTGTTAAAGACTTAATTTCTTCCTTTAAGAAATAATTCTCGGCTTCCCGAGAAGCACCTGAGAACCCACTTGAGTATCGCGAAGTTGACGCCTGAGGCAATTGGTGTCCTGATGTTGCTACTTGATCTTGCTGTTGTAGTTCAATATCAAGATCAGGTAAGGCACTGCTTGAGCTATGAGTTATAGGATCCGACACAACACTTTGTTCTGGTTTAAGAATTTCAGTTATTTTCCTAAAATTATTTATACTTAATTATTGTATCCTGGAGATACATATCATTACGGAAAATACCTTTTTTCTGGAGATGGGAAGGTCAGTGTTTTGGTCATATTGAACGTAAATATAGTTGGCAGATTTTTCCTGTTCTTGTCTTTGAAATGGCAACTACATACAAGTGAGTGTTTTGAAGGCATTCGATCCTGTCGTCTAAAAAAACAATAAAATGAGTACCTCAGCATATGAAAAGGAAGGTAATTTTACCTTATAAATTTTATCCATTTATTTTTCTCTGTAGAATTAGCAGGAAATGTTAAAAAATCGACATATTTTTTGCTCACTATGGTGGTTACACCCAGGCACAAAACACATAACCATTTCTACACAGTTAGGGGGGTTCCTACTAAAGACGACAAAAAAAGATCCGGTTTGCAATGAAAGTATGCTTATATATTAATATATTAGAGTAGTAGATAAGTAGTAAAGTCAGAACAACTATGTAAACAGATAAATTATTATAACCTAGCTTTGACTAAAAATTAAATGATTGTCTTATGTTGTTCGTTTATAAACATTTTATTTCCCAGCAGTTCAAATCATCATCCATATTATTCCATTTATAAGCTAAAACCCCTTATAAACTTCTGAATTTTATGTAATCAGCATTAAAAAAAATCCTTATGGGATTTTACATAGGGATAAATCTCGAATGGAAAGGTCTTCAAAATTCCCGCCCGTGATGACGTCATGACTTAGCCTGTCTATTAAAATGAAAAATTCTCGTGGAATTCAATGCGTGAAAGAAGCTTGGTGAATTTGTGAACGGAACTGAAAAGTTTACGTGCGAATTGAGGATAAAAGAAGTTCAGACCCTGTTCACTCAAATATTCAAGGTCCGACCAGATTTTGATTGCAGCCAGGCCATCTACTGCTGGTCACACACAACTCACTCATAAATGAACTGAACATCCCCGAGAGGGCGGCATGACGACGATTGCAGCGTGAGTGCTGATTTAAAAAACGCTGATTTGCAGTTTTTGCGAGGCGTCTTTCTGGTATCAGAGAAAAGCGTTGTTTCTTGCAAAGTTTTTTGCTTTCTGCGATCAATAATTTATTAAAACATAAGTTTAAGACCTTTGCTGTGTGCTTCAGTGCGATGGTAGATGTTCTAGACGGTAAGCTGCTGCATTACTAGAGTTATTTACATATTGATTGCTGGATGACGCCAGCATGGTGCATGGTCTCACATTTTTCGGATTCAAATTATAACACAATAAAACCACAATATTTTCAGGTGTCGACTTCCTAGAAATGAAAATTTGAGATGCATTTGGATCAGGCGGGCGGGATGTGAGGATTTAGTGGCAAAATTGAAATTTCGCAGTGTATTTATGTGCTCTAGACATTTCCACGATGTGTGTTTCAAGGCAAACGGTAGATTATTACTAAATTGTCTTCCAACAAAATACCTCCCAGGTATGTTTAAATAAGACTAGCCTATGTCTTGTTTTAAAGATTACTACATAAATTATTCACCTTACATACTACATATATTTCGAAGGTTTCCAAGGTGCACCTTCCATAGAGAATAGCTTCTATCGAGAGAGTATACCATCTGCTAGGGGATGTGTAACTC